TTCATTTTTTTATCAATTAGCTGCTAACTGCTTCTTTTATAATCTAAAGGCAATCTGGTGATCATATCTAAATCTGCCACAATTATCAGCATGACAGATTAGTATCCCCACCACCACCAATCAATATTTTTCAATTATCATCAAAGGACCAAGGTTGCCATATATAAAGTCCTACCCTTGAATATATTTAAAAGGCGGAAAGTCTATTGTATGTTTAATTGATAGCAACTAGCTTTATTCTCTTAGTTTTCTCATTTCAGAAACAATTTTCTAATAATGCAAATCCCACTAATTTAGGACTTTGGTAGTGCTGTTCAGGCCAGTTGAATAAGAGAGTTGTTATCTTCTGGACAAGGAGAGATAGCCTTTCTGTTTAGATAAGCTGTTTCAAACTGTAGTGAAATTTTGTCATCTGAATTTTTGTTGTTATAAAAATACTAACTAAAATATTTCTAACCCTTTACACAACAGCTATAATGTTCTTCTTTCAAATGCAGTTTTTGATAGGCTCATACCATCAAGAGAGTTGTGTCTTTAATGCTAATATAACAGCAGCTCCCAAACATCTTCATAACTTGGGTATGTGGTTGTGAAAGTGGCACCGTGGCAAATGTTGGACAGGATCAATGAAGAAAAGTGTTGACTGAATTGGTATTGGAAGACTTTTTGTGTGTGAGTAATTTATTGCTAAAACAATATTTGCATTAAATGAAATCAAATTAAACTTATAAAACATTTCTTTTCTAGGAAGATGCTTGTTGATTTATGAAGACTTCCAACAAAGGATTTCATTTTATGAGTCAATTTGTATGTGAAAAAGTTTTTATTTTGCTATTAAAACTTCTGTATTTGTAAAAGTGATAATTAGCAGGCAAAACAGACCAGTATCTGGAATGCAACACACTCATTAAGAATATATTAGCTATAGCTGAAACAAATTCTTTGAAAAAGAACAGTAATATTAAGAGAGGTTCCAAACGATCACCCTTTTAGAATAAACTTTGCTCTTATTTCTTGCATGTAATATGTCCATATTTATATGTATCTGCTTTCTGTGAACATTAGCATCTTCCTTTTTTAAACATTAGGACTATGCTGCCCCAGTATTATAATATTTTAAATTTGTCTTTTCATCCTTTCCAAATATACATCAAAGTCAGTAATATTAATTTGCTAAACATGGAAATAATTCCTTTTAAATAGTATATTGAAACTGTGGGAATAGATAGTAATATGAAATTTCATCTCTTTCCATACACACCTTTTTCTATTCTCTTTCCTTAATTCATAAGAGTTCAGGATGTGTTCCAGAAAGCTTTGGGGTTTCATGACACGAAATAGCAGATAAATGGCAAATGACTTTCCTTACTACAATGCCCATCATCCCCAACTAGCATGACCTGGCTGTGGATAATGTGATCTGTAGAGCTAGGCGCAATAGGCCTTGCCCAAACCCAATGCCTACTGAGTGGCTCCTCTAAAATATGACTTAGGCATTCTCAGGCAAGTGAGCAGAGCTTCTCTTCCTAGAAATCAATATGGATGCAAGAGAGACAAGGAAAAAACTTCTTGTTATTTACAGTGCCATAATTTAAGCATAAAGTGCTGGTGCTATAAGATGATGGGGACACTTCCATAGAAAGAGCCTACCTTCTGCATCCCTAGAATTAACCAGGTAGCTTCTCTCCATTAAATATAGTAAGTGTGGAGAGTGTATGATTCAGTGAAAGTAATGCAAGATAACACAATTGCATTCAATAACTTTCCAAACCTAACCCAGTTAATACAGTCCTAATAGATGCATAGTAACAAGTGTTCCTAAAAACAATACATCATAATTTCTAGGGAAAGTAATGGCAAAGCTCCAGTAGTTCGGTGAAAAAACATACCACACGAAATTATACATAATACAGACTCAGTGAATTCCTGAGTTTTGTTGCTGAAACACTGTCTAGAGCAGGATGAGCAAATATGGGCTACATAAAGCTCCCAAGGGCTCTTTTGTGCCCGACCACCCACCCTTGTGCTGCTGAAATTCAGAAGCATTGCAGCAAAAATATGATTTGTTGCCAAATTTCAGTGGCAAGTCAGAGCAAGAAGGGTAAACTTAGCTAGAAAACAAGCTACTTTGACCTTTTTAAGGGAAATCATTGGTCCTGTGGTCACCATAACACTTTTCCTGCTCTAGACTGACCAAGACATATATCCTGAACTAGAACTATGGTAATGCAGGAATCATGCATTACTGAAAAGCAGATTCAAGTTTCAGGGCCTTCCCACAAAATTCTCAGGGACAAAGTACGTGAGTTGATATTGCCAAGAGCAATGGAAACAAGCCAAATCTCCTCACCCAAGAAAAAGGGATAGAGGGCAGGTTTCTCTGGTTGCTTATACACACACATTCACATGGCCAAGTATTTCTTTAGTGTAGCATCAGCAGCCATCCTTGCAACATCAAGGAGAGTCAAAAAGAATGAAATTAGCTTCAGTAAACACTGTTAGTTATGCCACACTACATTTACATGGCAAGTACCACCAGTAAATGTCTTTGTCTTATCCCAGAGTGTTCCAGCAAATGTACTTCTGTGAGGCAGGTAAGTAGCTCAAATAAAATTTTCCTTATAAGAACAGCAGAAGAGTTGTGCTGGATGAGGCCATTTCGTCCAGCATTTTATTCCCGTGCTGGGCAGCTACGTAGATGCCCATGTGAAGCCCACACACAAAAGTCCTAACTGCAATAACACCCTCCTCTTCTGTTCCCCAGCAACTGGTATTTACAGGTATACTGGTAGATGTTGATAACTGCATCTATTGTGAGTAGCTTCACAAAAGTACAGATCAAGGGTTCTTTGGGAATAGATACCATTCTGAATAATTTTGAAACACAATGTTTTCTTTGGTATAGTAGTGTATTACTGACAGCTCTGTAGATACAAATAGAAACAAGCCATGTCTACTTTTCATAACTATGTTAAAGCTGAAAAATTACATCACTTCTAGTTCGGTAACTGCTAGTTGCAAAACACAGGATGATTATGAATGCATATCTGTGAAATATTTAAAGAGATAAGATAAGCTTGACAAAAAAAAGTGGTTGACTGCAAATGACAGAGAGAGAAAGCTTCAGCTATGGGCTGGTATAGAAATGAAATAAATGAAATAAATGATTAAATCTAACTTGGTTCAATATTACAGTCAAAACACCTGTTCATTCATTACTTTCTGAAGAACCACTCAACCCAGTCTGAGGATTCAAGCATGTGTTTGCTACACCTGTTCAGGGAGAAATTAGCAGGGAGATTATACTATCTGAATGCAGAATCTTTGTTATTACCAGATCAAAAACCTCCACAATCTTTCAGGGGGTAGAATGGGTATTAAGGGAAATACCATGTTTTAATATATGCCACTCAGTTTAGTACATTTGTTACTTTCTTCCCATGATGAGAAAGGAGAGGAATGCAAAACACTGAAACTTGTCTCCTATTGAGATTCCTCCCTGGAAAATAACAAGTGAGCAATACCAACATGAAAGAATAAAAAATAAACTTATCATTGCTGAGGCAAATTGGAATAAATGTATCATACAAAGAAAAGGCTACCGTTCTGACACAGAAATCATTCCTGCCACAGTGCCCATTCCCCCCAGATATACATGTTATAGGATTGCAGATAAAAATCACTGGAGAGATATACCCTTTTCTAAAAGACAAATGTAGTATTTATGAGCTTGCTGCAACGGTGGATATGTGCATATTAAAAAAAAAATCCTTTTTAGTAGGCAAGGAGCAACCAAATAACAACTGAGTGAAGGAATACTGCAGGATGATTGTACAGACCAGTATGAAGATTAATAGCTATATGATGCAAGGCCATAATTCCACAACAGTGACATGATTAACTGCAGCACTGTCCTATTCATGAGAAATGTATGAGAAACATTATGAGGAACATTCACTTTAGATATCTAAAAACAGTTTGATGCACAATTTTTCAAAATACAGTTAAATACCATTTGCTCTGATTGTTTAAAGTTATGTTTACAATGATTTTTTTAAAGCTGAAAATCAATCTGAAATGTAAATGCAACATTCAATCAGGTAATCCCAATGGAAATGAAAACTAGATTTATGAAAACCATGGTCCAAATGCATAGAAGGAAAATATTTTCTAGGGATATAAGCTATTGACTATAAAGTCAGGACTGTTTAATAAATAAAATATTCTCAGCAATTACACACATGCACATATAAGTAAAGCAAAAGCTGTCATGATTAGAGCAAGACAATTTATACTAGTAATTACATATCAACATTTTATTGAAAGGCTTGAAAGAATAATTTGGCCATACTGCAGTCATTAGCAAAATGAGTGCTGCAGTGCTAGCACAGTTTCTCATGTGCAAATCGTTAGAATTGCAAAATTACAGCACATAATGTGACACAACAGGCAACCTCTGCTTTGGAAAGGATTGCATAAAAATTTAATTAGCTTTTATCTCCAGGGATTACAGTCCCCTCCAGGTCACCACTGAGGTTACTGGTGGAGCAATAGGCAACTGCAGCTGCCTCCCCATTGGACCCAGGTTTGCTTAGCTATGCTTTCCAGTGCCATCAAAATAATTCATTCTGATGATAAAAGGAGGGTCACTGTGAGAAAAAGTACTGGGTGCAACACTGTAATGTGACAGATAACTTTGCCTTTCATCTGACTAATATCTTAAATCACATGACACTCAAAGAGCACTGCTTTCAACAGACTTTCGATCTTTCATTGGCCTCAGTCAGTGAAAATAATCAGCTCTTGGTAGGAGGAGATGAACACTAAGCACTTGTAGGATAGGGAGCGCTTCATCACCAGTAAATAATATCCTGCTTCCATCTCTACATATTAGTGTTATATTCATCCACCAGCAATGCAATTCATTACCCAAATAAAAGAATACCGGACACACAAAATATATCTGTCCGCAAACGGCCATGAGGGTCAATATTCCTTACATCATTCAGTTGTTTCGAGGAGCCTGGGGCTGTTGAACTGTAGAGCTGTCTATTTCCCGTCTTTAAAGCTGCATCTCTTCTTGCTTGTTCAAGCAGAACTCTTGCTCGTTCTTTTAGTTCTTCCTGCCTTGATAACATTCGTTGCTTAAAAAATAAAATAAAAACCCAAACAATTAATAACAAACACACCTCAACAGGACACTGTACTGCACTGTTAGATGAACAGCCTACAGTGGGCTGGCCTTCAGGCCAGCTCTGCACAACAAGCCTGCAAGGCAATCAAAGCAGACCAAGGGAGACAACATTTTTCCATTGCCCCCTCAGATCTTCCCAGTGGGACAGATGATGTCAAGAGGCGGTAGCAAGTGAGACTCTCTCCCAAAGCACCTCTTCTGATGCCTTGTGCCTCAGCCTACCCAGTTTTCTTTTCTCCATGCCCAGACTGGTGCCTGGGAGCAGAGAAGTGAAGGCCTGGGATTCTCCTCCACCCCCAACATCGTAACAACAGTGGACACCCACCTTTATTGGGTTCAGATGTCATGATAAGCTACATGCAGCAAGGGTAATTAGGGAAATCTGTTGGCATGTAACAGACATGTGCAATTGGTGTGTGTGTCTGTGTATATTAAGTTGATTGTAATAGCAGTGTAACTGATTAAAAGTTGGAGGTTAGGTATTCAGTTGCAGATAGAAAGACATGGTCTGGACAGCAGCTCTACACACTGAAGGACAAAGAAAGGGAAGATATACACATTTTTCAGAGGCATCTGAGTAGCCTGGTAGACTTGGTACCCAGGCCTTGTCTTTATTCATGAGATCTACTTGAAATGTTCTCTTATACTAGTTATGTGGGCTTTTCAAATATGGGCAGCCAGATGCAAATTGTGTGTTTCTCAGAAACATGTGCAGTTCAAAAGGCATGCAAAACTAGAATTAAGCCAGATGATGTAAAAAGTGACTGAAACCACTTCAAAAGGAAATTGAGTAGTACAGGATCCACTAGAAAACTAAACCTTGATCAAAGGTATCAATTATTTATCCTTACTCCTGAAGACTCTATTGCTACTGTTCACAGAGCATACACTAATGTTTCCAACATGAAGGAAATTATTCTAGAACAGGGGTCGGCAACCTTAAACACTCAAAGAGCCATTTGGACCCATTTCCCACAGAAAACACCTCGAGCCACAAAACCCCTTTAACATATGAAATGAAGATAACACTGCATATATCGTTTTTTACCTTTATGCCATGTATAAAAAAACTACAGTGTGTTGCATTTATGAAATCAATGAACTGCTACAGAGAAAACAAATTTTTATTTCTGCATGCAACAAAAACATTTTGAACTCCGAAAAAAAAGACGCTGGGTTGAAGGTTACTTTCAAATAAAATAGAATTTGCAGACTTTAATCCACTTCTTGAAATGATTTTTGCTCAGATCAACCTTCCACATCAGTTCCAAAATGGCTTTTTTTCTCTCATCTCCTTCTGGATATTTTTCAGCAAAGGCTGTGTGTTTATTCTGGAAATGTCTTGCAACATTTGACTTTTTGTTTTTTGCCAGTTTCTCACCACATATTAAGCATACTGGTAAACCAGTCTCGTCAGCAGTGAAAGCAAATGAATTTGCCCACGTACCATTAAATGTTATGTTTTTTTCTGAAACTTTGCTTTTCTTGGATTTATCCAGGGGTCCAAGAGCTCAATAAATTGCGTGCCGGCGGGTGTTGCACATTGGCGGTTGTGACGCATATTTTGAGCCACAGGGAGCCGCAGCAGAGGGATGAAAGAGCCACATGTGGCTCCAGAGCCGCAGGTTGCTGACCCCTGTTCTAGACTATGGAGACTCTTTTCATGACAAGTCATTTGAACTTGTCAATGTTAAAATAAACAGAGCAATTCCAGAAAATATCTAATATGACTTTCTTAAAAGGGATTGTAGTTCATGCATCTGTTGTCCCTACCTTTTCCTTAGGTTTTTTTATGCCCCATTGCTCCAAATAAGCTTTTGTTGGAATTTATGTTTCTTCTTGTATAAAGCTTGAATCTTACACTCTTTGATATTAATGCCATCAAGTTCAAATGCTCAGTTTTGAGATATTCTTTAACTCTGTGTATGCTTCTAAATGTGAGGGAACATGAGTCTAGGCAGCAAAACATTCTCCACTGAGGCCCATCTGATGCCAACTTTAGCATCCTTCCAGTGCCAGGTTAAGATAATTATCATAGGACATTAACTTACTTTGTTGGGAGCTTAGGTAGCAGCTTAACCAGGTTGTCTGATTAATTCATATAGACTATCGCAACTTTTCTACATGTGTTTTAATTTGGTTTAAAATTTCATATGATAACCTTTTATGGTGTTTTTCATGTTTCTTGTATTTTTATATTGTATTATGTGTTGAAAATCACCCAGAGAGCTCTGGATATTAAAAGGCATAGAAAATATAAACATGTTTATTAACATAAGGAAAATGAACAGCTCTGTGTGATGTACCCAAAACACAATCACTATGAAGTTTGAAAGGTTTTTTTTTTTCTTTAAGGGTTTGTATACTTTGTCCCATTCCCTTGGAAAACTTATGGTGCCAATGTGCACAGTGGAATGCTAAGTGTAACCATACAACAAAGTAAGCAATGCTTACCTCAGTGTGCAGTGCCTGCACCAAAGGAAAGGGTGAACACAAGGAAGGAGGTGTCCTTGCTTAAATGCAAGCTTACCAGCCCTCTTCTCTTGGGCATGGCTCCAAGGCAAGGTATGTGCTAAAGCAATGCTTTTCAACTGGTGGCATTCCCCATGCAGGGCACTTAAGGCCACGCTAAGCCACACCCTTGGCTCATCCTGTTCCTTCCCACTTGGCCTTATCAGAGGCACATTAAGTGCTTAGGGAATAAAGTACTGTACAGAGGGAAGCTGGTGGGTCAAGCTTAGTCCAACCTTCACAGAAGCAACTGTTTTCTACCTTCCTGCTTTCACATCTCATTTTATCCTGTATTCCTAACACCTTTTCTCTCAATACTAGTGTTGCACAGGACGGGCCCACCCACCCTTCCTGCTTATGATAATGATCCACACTTCTCTTCTGTGATCCACACAATGAAGAATTTCTGAATCCATGTTTGGACTTTTTCTAATTAGCATAATTGGTCACAGGCTTCAAATGGACTTTCAGTGTTTCTGCTGCATACTAGAATTACTTCAAGGTAAGAAAAAGGTGTAGTGGCAAGCTTCTGTGCTTTTTGCAATCTAAATTTTTTTTTAAGGATAATACTATAAACAGCTCATAAACAGGTCCTTTGAAGCAGAGCAAGCTCTGTTTAACATTTGAAACATTTGTTACAGGGGGCCAAGAAAGGACCAACCTTAATTCTACCCAAATAATTATAAAGTATATGTACTTTTTAAATGGTTTTTTTAGAAGTCATTTATAGGACCTTAACAATGTTCAGATATATATTTTAAGTGAATATATTCATGATTCAAAAAACTTAAAAGACAATGTCCCTAGAGTTACCATGAAAGCTGAAACAAGAAGCCATCCAGTGAGAGAACCAGTGTGGTGTAGTGGTTAAGAGCCTGGGACTGGGACTCAGACAATCTAGGTTCTAGTCCCCGCTCAGCCATGGAGCCAACTGGGTGACTTTGGGCCAGTCACAGACTCTCAGCCCAACCTACCTCACAGGGTTGTTGTGGTGGGGATAAGATGGAGGAGGAGAATGATGTAAGCTGCCTTGAGCCCTTTGTAGGAAAAAGGCAGGATATAAATCGAAAAATAAATAAATAAGTAAATAAATCCTTCCTTGGCCCTCAATCAGCTGTTCATGATTCATAACTCACAGTGGTAAAAAGCATGAGCTATGACCTACACAGCTGTAACTAACATTTCAGATGAACCATAAATTCACTGGATAGACCTATGCCAGCTGTTGCCTCCCAGCAATACTGAAACTTTACATAGTGAATATTATAGAAATTGTAATGGGAAGCGGGAAAGGGCTACATATAGATGCTACACGCCATGTATAATAAACATAGCACTCAAGTGAGAAGTGTCTATGTGTATTCCACACCCAGTATTAAAAGCACACATAACGCTGATTACTCTTTCATGGATCACTGCCTTGTTGTGGCGAAGGGGCTTGTGTAGCTCAATGAAGCTATAAGCTATGCTGTGCAGGGCCACCCAAGACGGACAGGTCACAGCAGAGAGCTCTGACAAAACGTGATCCACTGGAGAAGGAAATGGCAACCCACTCCAGTACCCTTGCCATGAAAACCACACGGACAGTACCAAAAGGCAAAAAGATATGACGCCAGAAGATGAGCCCCGCAGGTCAGAAGGTGTCCAATGTGCTACTGGGGAAGAACTGAGGGCTAGTACTAGTAGAGCCAGAAAGAATGAAGCGACTGGGTCAAAGCCGAAAGGACACTCAGTTGCTGATGTATCTGGTGGTGAAAGGAGAGTCCGATGCTGCAAAGATCTATACTCC